AGTTGTTTCTGTAGTATCCCCATCATGGTCTTGACCCCTTTGCTCATATTATCGCTTCTCTCTTCGGTTGGACTCTGGGAGCTCGGCCCAGTGCTTAGCTGTGGATCTCTGCATCTGCTTCCATTGGTTGCTGGATGAAGGTTCTAGGATGACAATTAAGATAGTCATCAATCAGATTACAGGGGAAGGTCAGTTCAGGCACCCTCATCACTTTTGCTTAGGGTCTTAGCTGGGGTCATCCTTGCAGATTCCTGGGAATTTCCCTGGTACCAGGTTTCTCACTAACCCCATAATGACATGCTCCATCAAGACAATTCTGCATTTTGATCCATTGTGGTTGTCTGTAATGGTCTCTGTCAGACAGCAAAACTTTAAAACTAGGAAGATACACGGTGAACATATGCAACACTACAACATTTGGAGTAGTTTAAGTCCACATCACTTAATCCCCCCCTCTTCTTGGAATGACTCACTTGCCACATTTAGTTCCGTGGAGTCAGGGGTGTCTCCTCTTAATGGTGCCCGTGATTGGTGACTAAACACAGGCAACAGAACTGACATTGGAGCCAGCCGGATTGAACAGAAACCAGAGAAGCACGGATAGCCCGAGCTCAAAGCAGACAGACCCAAGAGATGAATCCCAGACTGGAGCATAGGGCCTCAGAAGGTGAGGACCAACCTAGGCAGTAAGCAAATGGAAGGCAGACCCTAATGCTGCCATGTGAAAAGCCATCAGGCAGCAAGTGGTGATGGAGGTAGATGCTCAGCCCTTCATTTTCATGGACCCGATGGGTGAGATGAGACATCCACGATTTCATAGACTTGGTAGAAGTTATTTAAGAGTGAGCTTCTCTTTGTGTGGAGGGGAAGCTGGGGACAGGTAAACCCTTTTGGCTGTGGCAACCCCAAGCCTTTTTTAGACCGCACATTCATGCAAGGATGTAGTTTGTGTCATGTGTGTAGGTATGTGCATGTGCTGGCAAAATGGATGGTATCTGATGATCACGATAGAAGGCCAACCTTTTCCTCTGCCCGGCTGTCCCTCAACATTATGCTAAGTTGCTCCACTGGACAAAGCTGTTGGTTGTCACACATAAGATCCCCAGGGCCTATGCTGGATGAGAACCAACTGATCATGTTAAACAATGACGTCACAACGCAATGTGAGAAGTCAGTGACAGCTCCCGTCCCCATGCTGATGAGCTCGTGGTCATTCTCTATAGTTTTCGTGGCACCAGTGTTGCTGTGGGAAAGTGGCTAAGGGCCAGCACTCACGTGTTTGGTCAGTTGGTTTGCAACATAATAAAATTTCATTCTTGAACACGTGAAGCAGTCAGGACTTCACGATGTCTGAATTTTAAGTTTTCATTTTGTTTGACATATGCTATCCTATTGCAGTATCTTAAGCTGGCAAAGGTGGATATGGGTCCTCAGATTCTCAGAAAATGTTTCCCAGCCCAGAGGTCTGTTCTTGGTGACACTATTCCCCACCACCTCTGTGTCAGAACTGGATGAGAATATGTTTTCTTTATGGCATTGTTTATGGCAGCTCTTCAGTCATGTATTGCTAACGCTATGTGTCTTATCAGATCTGAAAGAAATCACAACCTGAAAGATTGTATGGTTTTTCATAGAAGTGTGGGTTTTAGCTTCACAGGAAGTGGGAAGCCTGTTACCGCTAGTGTGCTTTAATAAATATCAAATGATAAGAAGGATAGTTCTATATTAGCTTTAGGGCCTAGGGCTAATAACATCTTCAGGTCTGGGGATGGAGCTCAGTCGATACAGTGCTTGCCCGTTAGGTGCAGAGCCTTGAGTTCCATCCCTAGACCCACACACCTGCCATGGGAAGTGCTGCGAATATCAGAAGATCAAGATCAACCGCAGCTCTATAGTGAACTGAAGGTCAGCATGGACTACATGAGGCACTGCCTCAAAAACCAAAACAAAACCTCCCAAGTTTTCAAATAGTGATAGACAGTATCCCGAGTCGCTTACCTTTCATAACTACATCCTTCTCTGTTGCTGTTGTCGCTGTGAGTGCTGGGATAATGAGGCAGGATGTAGGAGTTTTGCTGCTGACTGAATTAAAAGAAAGGAAATATTAAATGTATAATGAATTTATCTCTTTGACAGGATAAATACAGACGTGCTTTGAACGAATAGGTACTTAATCCCTCCTCCTCAATTGCCTACTCCCTGTAAAAGTAAAATGGTGAATTTGATGTTAAATTTGAATCACCCCAGGTGATATGCATATCTGTCATTATAAAATTCACATTTTAGTGAAAACTAGGATTTACATAGATTATCTTTTTTTTTTGGAGTGTCAAAACACGCCCCGGGTGGGAGAGTGCAGAATATCTGATGATTCATGGGAGAGCTCGAGCTTGATGCCTGGGTGGGAGCAAAACGTCAAGGAAACTGCTCAAGGAGTGAACATGTGGAAATGCAGTGTTGGAAAGTGAGCTACGGTGGGCAGACCATAGAAGAGTCCTGCAGCCCTTGCCGCCTGCTGTCTATGCCCTTATGTGTCCTTATCTCCGTCATGAAGTTATGAATCTAGTAAGCACTTGACTTCCGTACGCTTCCACATAAAACATTGTACCTGTTGAAAATAATGGTAATAAGTACATTTTCAAAATTTGGCGCAACTTTTTGTGTTTACTTATATATTTTAAAATAATAATACTTACATATAGTTAAGAATCAGAAGTTATTCAAGGCATCACAGCTTGAAGAATTTCCATTGAAAGATACATTGATTAGGTAGCGTAGACTGCTGCTTGTCAGTCTAGAGACAATGGTTTTAGTGCTCTCCATACAATGTGGCTACTTCATGAAAACCCTGCTTTTTTCACAGTATGCATGTGCATGCGTGTGTGCGCGCGCACACACACACACACACACACACACACACACACACACACACGTGTGTGCACATATTATTTTCCACAACTCCAGAAGAAAGTTTCTATGTGCTACAGTGGCTGACAGTTCTCAGAATAATACAGTTCTGGGGAACATCTGCACTTCTCTTAGTGGATTTGTAAGGTCGCATGCCATTTTACATAAAACTAAGACCTTATTTGTCTTTTACAAACAAGCTGTGAACATTTGTGTGTGTGTGTGTGCGCGCGCGTGTGTGTGTGTGTGTGCGTTGACATGTGATGTGTCATGGATGCAAAAGAAATGGCCAGCAGCATTGCTGGAATTTGCATGTCTCAAGGCAGTGGTACTTAACCATAGTTCCAATCCTGGTATATTTAGCACTGTTATTCCATGAGGAGAAATTGAAGAGGGGTTGATTTCATTTAGTATTATCTCTGATGAAGAAATCAAAGTTGTTAAGCTTAAACTGTTGCTGATGCATCTTTGTAACATTCTTCGTGATGGCTGAGCTGTGTGAGGGAGCTGGGTATTTGCTCAGTCAGAGACCCTGTGTGGTGGCTTGCGGGGATGCTCCATCAGCTGTTCCTTCAGCAGCATCAGTGTTACTGGGGAAAACAGTTGAAAAGCCAGCTGTGCTCAATCAGACTCATGTGCACAGACATGAGCCTCTCGTGTCAAGGAAGGTAACTGCAGCAGGCAGTGTTTGATGCTGGTATCATAAGTTTTCAAGAAAATTAATTAGAACTTAGGGATAAATGTATCTACCCATGAGAGTTGACTGACACCCCAAGCTTTTCATGAGAGTGGTGGTGATGTTAACAGATTCTACCTTTATGAAGGCCTATAATGAAATATGACATCATTAGGAAGACCTATATCATCGACTGAACCACTATTTTCCAATGACAATGATATCATGTGCTAAAATTGTGTACATCTTCCTAGGTTAAAAAACAAGAACAAAACCAAAAGATTTTAATATATTGGAATAAAATTTAATTATATTAGACAATATGTAATGTTGATAGTCCATTTGATTTAAACATTACATTTATAACCTCATTTGATAGGAGTCATAAATTTAATTTGTAAAATTTCACCTTTCCCATGGCACCTAAGCTTTGAAAACAAGAACAACAACAAAAAAACTACCATATGTTGAGTTTGGGTCTAATATTGAAGAACAGTATTCATAGTTATCTGAGAAGCCCATTAAATTGTGTCCAGTATATGCTTATAAGGTCAGATGGTGGCCATACACTGAAACACCAACCACATGGCGCGGCAGACTGAATATCAAGGCTAACACGATGGTGTGATCTTCACTTGTTGAACAGGAATCAAAGGGCCTCACAAAAATGTAAAATGGATTCTCTATTTTCATTATTATATTTATCTGAGAAAATGGAATAGGCTTACCATGAAAATTATGGTGAGCCGGCCGAGGAGAGTGGAGCTGAGCAGATGTGGATTGCTGGGAGTGTTACTGGCAAGAGCAACAGCTCACACTTAGCGATGTAGCCAAGCAACTGGACAGAGAACACTTGACCACCGAGGACCCTCTTAGCTTCCACAGGTGCTCGCCATCAGCCCTGGTGGCGTTTAGCTGACTGCATCCTATACAAATTTGCTTATTTTGAGTGACACTTTTGAGTACACTTTGGGTGTAATGAATGCTGGTCCTCCCAGCACACGAGAGGCTGAGGCAGGAGGATCTCAAGCTCTAAGTCAGCCTGGAGTACAGAGTGCAAAGCCGTCTCATAAAACCAGCCAATCCCAAACTCCCCCAGATAGAAATAAGTGCTAAACAAAATTCAAAGACAGGAGTGTTATTGTCTTGTGCCAGCTCCATCCTGTCCAACATTCCATACAGAGCGCATTCTGCTGTGCTCTGTAACTTAAGAAAACACCAAGGCAACACAAACTACAGAAGACTAGGTTGCTGCAGTGGGTACTTTTCACCTTCAAATGATCACTGTTTTTGAAAGAAATCGAAAGATAACTAAGAGCAAAAAGCTTCATGCCATCCGTATGCTGCCTATGATGTTTTGACTTACTATTTTTGGCTTTATTGTAATTTCTAGTTTTTCTGTGTTTTTTTTCAACAGATCACCAGAAACTGGAAAGGGAAGCTAGAATCTGCCGTCTTTTGAAGCACCCCAATATTGGTGAGGAAATATCTTCAATGTTTCTTAAATGATATTTGTTATATACTGTATGAAACTGAAGTAGAAATGTTAATTTACATAATCAGAATATTTACAACTTATAAATAGATTCTAATCTCTTGATCATGGTTACATTTGATCCTTTGTAAGTTTATATATACATATATATATTATTGAATCATTGTTTTTGATACAATTTTTGAAGCAAGATTGAAATTTTTAAAAAATATTTCACTTACTTAGCTTCGCCTTCTTTTGGGGAAATAACCATAACAATGAAATAAATATTGTTTATTTCCTGTTGTACTGAACATTGATTGCACATTATTAACCAATGAGCATGCTGAGAATAATTTAGTAATACCTGACTTTACTATTACTATTATTATTAGAATAATAATAAGTAATCTTTGACTGTGACTTACTCACTTTATTTTAACGTGTTCTGAAGTCTGCTATGCTAGCTTACAGTTTCCCTCTGAACATCTCTGAAATAAAAATGATGACCTTTTACCCAGTAAGGAAAGGAGTTGTAAAAACAGGCATAACTTGTTAAAATTTGTAGCTATATTTTTTCAAGAAGTAGTGATTCTCTAAATCAATCAGTGTAAAAACAAACAGTGTAAAAACAAACAAAAACCCCACATCTGTTAAAACCGTTAAAGAGTTTAAAATTGGGACAGAAGAAAAAAAAGCACAATGATAATATTTGGAATTTCAGTTTGTGTGTGAGTGTAATTAAGAGTTGTTCAGTTGCTGCTGGTAAAGGATGGAGAAGTAGGCTCAGTTGCTTCTCCCTTGCCCTGCCCCACTGAGAGATTCCAATTCAGAGAAATAAGTGGTCAGGACCATAGCATTCTGAATAGAGAATCTGAGTAAGGCTCCACTTGAGATGACCCCATGAGAAGGAGCTGGTCATGTGGCCTGCTGGAACTAGCAGACAGTCATTATAAAGGGAGGGGGTAAATAGCGAAGGGGAGGATTCCAAGGCAGAACCTTGCCCACTGAATTCCACCAGCATTTGTTTTCTAGTTGGAGGAAATAGGAGCGGCTGAGTTTTTTTTTTGCTTTATCTTAACTGTTATAATTGCTGGGTCCCTAAATTACCTAATATAACTCTCTTGTATTTGCTTATGTGAAGAATAGTGATTTAGAAAGGACACCAGCAACTGTCCCAGGGGAATAATCAACCGCCAACAAACAAGGAATGTTTTAGCCTGAAAGAGGCTTCGTGGTGGAGCAGGCCTTAATCCCACTCAGGAGTCAGAGGCAGGGGAATTTCTGAGTTCTAAACCAGCAGAGACTGCATAGTGAGACCTTGACTCAAACCAGCACTAAAGCAAATAAGTATGAGCTAGAGAGAGCTGCAGGGTGGTGCCATCTAGCAGAGCTTCCTGCAGCTGCTGTTCCCTGCTGTCTAGACGGCACCAGGAGGCCCAGAGGGTCCTTGATTGCCCAGCACCTGAGATGCTTAACCTCAATCTTATTACTTGCTCTTTTTCACTGCCTTGCTTATTCTATCATTTAAAAATCTGTTGCAATTCGAAACTTCAAGAAAACAGACACGGTTCTTGGCAGTTTCTCCCCTGTGAAATTTTTCTTTTTTTCATTTCTTTTCCTCTTTTTTTTTTTTTTTTTCCTTAGACAGGGTCTCACTGCATGGTTTGAAGCTCACTATGTAGACCAGGCTGGCCTGGAAGTTAACAGAAATTCACCTCCCATTGCTTCTCAGTTAGGATTAGAGACATATTCCAGCAAAGAGGCAAGGCTTGAGGACTTAGAGTAAATAAATGGATTTTGTTTTTTCCCTAAAGAGAAACATTTTAAATGAGTCCAAGGTGAAAATTTATTATACAACTTTTCTTCAGTGCTTTTTAAAACACATTTTTTTTTTCTGATCGTAAAAGTAATTTGTATACTTAGAAATAATGTCAGGAAAATATAATGATAATTAAATAAGAAACCAGAAAAAACAGTTTGTAATATTTGTTCATGTTTCTGACTTTTTATATGAACCTTATGCATGACTAACTTTCAACCTTCTTTAGTGTGTGTTTTCTTAGATTGTCACCATATTGGAAGATGTGTCCCACTCAACATGGTATCTGGAGAATAGAGTACTAGGCTAGCAGTGTGCTGGGCTGTCACAAAGGCAGGGAAGCAGTAGTCAAGAGACATAATGTCTCTGCCTCCCAACCTCTCATTTGAGTGTGTAAACAAGCCAACATCCTGATAATGTCATAGAGCTTCATTATGCTTGCAATTGATGTAAGGTAATTGGATATGTGGAGACTGAGGGGCTCCAGTAACAAAAAAAGCAGAGACAGATGCAAGGTAGAGATGAAGACAGATTTTACCCAGAACTATTATACTATGGGAAAGAAGTGAGCTGCAAGGTCAGTCACATGCTAACATGCAGCGTGATAGCATTCTTTTTTAAAATTTTTTATAAAACAATATATTTTTCTCTACTCCCCTCCCTTCTTCCCTTTTACCCTCTCCCATGATTCCCATGTTCCTAATTTACTCAGAAGATATTGTCTCTTTCTACTTCCCATGTAGATTTAGGTCCATGTATGTCTCTCTAACGGTTCTCTTTGTTGTCTAGGTTCTCTGGGGTTGTGAATTGTGGGCTGATTTTTCTTTGCTTTATGTCTAAAATCCACTTATGAGTGAGTACATATATTTGCCTTTCTGGGTCTGGGTTACCTCACTCAATATGATGTTTTGTGGATCCATCCATTTGCCGACAAATTTCAAGATATCATTTTTCTTCCGCTGTGTAATACTCCATTGTGTAAATGTACCACATTTTCCTTATCCATTTTTTGGTCGAGGGGCACTTAGGTTGTTTCCAGGTTCTGGCTATGACAAACAAAGCTGCTATGAACAGAGCTGAACACATGTCCTTGTGGTACGATTAAGCATCCTTTGGATATATACCCAAAAGTGGTGTTGCTGGGTCTTGAGGAAGGTTATTTCCCCATTTTCTGAGAAATCACCATACTGATATCTAAAACGGCTGTACTAGTTTACACTTCCACCATCAATGCAGAAGTGTTCCCTTTACCCTACATCCTCACCCTCATAAGCTGTCAGTGTTTTTGATCTTGGCTGTTCTTACAGAAGTAAGATGGAATCTCAGAGTTGTTTTGATTTGCATTTCTCTGATGGCTAGGGATATTGAGCATTTCCTTAAGTGTCTTTTAGCCATTTTAGATTCATCTGTTGAGAGTTCTCTGTTTAGACCTGTACTCCATTTTTTAAAATTGGATTATTTGTTCTTTTGATCATCAATTTCTTGAGTTCTTCATATATTTTGGAGATCAACCTGCTGTCCGATGTGGTATAGACCGTGGGGGAAAAAGAGAATATTCAACAAATGGTGCTGGCATAACTGGATATCAATGTGTAGAAGAATGAAAATAGATCCATATTTATCAGCATGCACAAAACTCAAGTCCTAATGTACCAAAGACTTCAATAAAAAAAACAACCACACTGAACCTCACAGAAGAGAAAGTGGAAAGTACACTTGAACGCATTAGCACAGGAGACTACTTGCTAAATATTACCCCAGTAGCACAGACACTGAGAGAAACAATTAATAAATGAGACCTCCTAAAACTGAGAAGCTTCTGTAAAGCAAAGGACACAGTCAACTGACAGGATTCTGTAGTCACAGACAGTCCTAGGAAGGTCATGAGCAGCATCCAAGACAGTGCCTGTTTGAAAAGAAGAGTTTATCTAGGGTTTGATCAAGGAGAGCATATTTGTCACTGCCTTAAAATGGCTTGCCCTGCAAACTATGACTCTGGTGATCACATTGAAAGTAACATGGAAACAACTGTGGAAGATTCATGAGCACACCCAGGGGAAAACAGTTCAGACTGGAGAGACCTTCTCTTGTCAGAAAGAATGAAGGGAGCAGCCAGAGAAGAAGGGAATGAGTGAGCGGCTGCGTGGGTGTCTAGTCCCATGGGACCGCATATGCTGGCTTAGGGAGCTTGGCTCTCCTTCTAAGTAAGTGCAAGGGGAGGCCAGTAGGCCAGTAGGAGGATTTTAATCTGATTGCCTTTGCCTTCTGTGTGGAAAGCAGATTATAGCCAAGTGCTATATATATAGTCAGAGATGATAGTCTCCAATGTGTCACAATTCTAGCTTTCCAACAGCAGGCCAAAGATTATGTAATGTAAACTCATTTGTTTGTCTTAATGATTGAGGAAATATTGTTTGAATCTCGGATATAATAATTCAGTCATAATTCTTAAATGACTCTGAATTCTCAATGGCCTAAGTCTTCAATTTCCTTTATAAAGAGTCACTGGCGTTTAGAGATGCTAACTCGAGGATTACAAAGATATAGGTGCTTTTGTTCCCTTTTTAAGTAACAACCACAAAATTGAGGTTGTTTGCTTCATGTAAGTTCCTATGATTATAAGCAAGGCATTAAATAATAAATTTCAGTTATTAGGTAGGCATGGTGGAGCACACCTGTAACCCTGGTGCTTCAAAGGTGGAGGCAGGAGGATTAGAGGTTCAAGTGCATCTTTAATTACATAGTGTGGTTTAATGCCCTCTTGGGATACATGACACACTGTCTCAATAACATAAAGTAAACTAGGTCAAACACTGAAGAAAAAACCTTAATATAGAGCTGTTTCAAGACATGTTCTGTCTGCACAGGTATTACACGGCACATACAGCAGCACATGACATTCCACTTGCTGACAAGTGTTGACTTAATAGAGAGATGTTCCGCTCCCTACAAAAATGTTTTCAAAGGCCCACTATTGCTAAGTACATTTAGAATCTACATAATCTTATTTTCCTAAACCATAAGCCTCCACGTTTCCTTAGGAATGGTCTAAGCCTACTTTAGGTTCTTCAGATAGAGACTGAAGGTTCCAGTAGCTAAGCATATGCGAAGCTCACACACACAGGGCTCTCAAGGGGAGCTGTTGCCTCCTCCCTCCCCTGCCTCTGCTGGTGTGAGGCTT